TATTGGTTATATATGTAACAAGCTCGGTACATATGATTTGTATGCACCTGCTTGAGGGGGAGTATTAGTTTACAGCATGTATATAGTGTAGTATTGTCCCACATTGGTAGAAGAGTAGAATGTCCTTGTATAGTATAGCTATAAATAAGGACCTCTTGTATTGTATTGTTCATCTAATATCAATAACATATTTTCTCTCGTACCTTCTCACAATCATAAAAGAAATGGTAAAAATTTGAGTTGCATTTGCGCAGGAGCATACCTGTAGGACAAGTTAATAGTACACAGGACAGTTTAGGAAATTCAAACATGAAAGCAAGAACAATTTAGATCAGTACTAAGAACAGCACAATTTGATATAGAACATCCTAGATAGTGGCTATAGGATATAGAGTTAAGGGGGTCGCACGTATACTAGTCCTATACTCCTCCTATGTATTAAGAATAGCACACTCCTTAAAAGTGTCATATATGCTTTCAATACTGTCTTTCTTCATGCATACCAGGAAGCCGCTACTTACTGCAAGCCACAAAAGAAAACAATAATGTAAGCAATCAGAGAAATTGGTAGTAAAGCTATTACTGAACAGGAAATAAGGACATAGTTGGAAAACAAAGCAGGTTTTTTCTAACATAAGAGGAACAAATTCATGAAGACTTGGTAGGAATTGAATCAAGAAAGAAAACACAACAATTAGAACAGTTAACCTGCTTAAGTCCTATTGAGATAGTGCAAATAAAAAAGATACACACACATGAGAAAATTAATGGTGCAAAATGCAAAAACTCTCTAATGCACTTATAAACCTCAATAATAAAGCGAGCAGCCATTCAGTTGTCATATCGAACGGTCACCAGTAATAACAGTTTATGTCGCATGTTCTAATAGTGTGTTCTTTTCCCTTTTTTTACATTTTTAAATATATTATTCTACTCTTTTCTTATTAAAGCAGATTAAATAATATTTACGCTTGTCCATGAATATTACACGAGTCATTATAGAATGACTGTTTCAAATCCTGGTAGAAAGGATAATTCAACGTAACTGGCTATGTTCTTGTCTGTCCAGTTTCTTATAAATCAACAACATCATCCAGTCAGCTGGATATAGCCATGACCTATTTTTTGCTGAGTTTAAGTTTTGTGCAATGTCAGTTTATGAATTATTTATACTATTAGGTTAAGTGACTTACAAAAATGAGTTGCTCTTCGCAGCAAGTTTGATATGGTAAACTTGAAAGTAATTAAATTGCATTGATGGTGTTAAAAAAAAATTACATTGTTAGTGTATATGACTTAAGTCCTTTTTGGGGACATCTTCTCAGAACTAGGGGCAACTTTTTGTGTTTTAATTCTAATTTGGAAAATGGGACATAATGCAATATCACAACTGACCATAAAGAATAGAATTTCCAGGTTGATATTTTTGGCACATCTAGTAAAGGCAAAAGAGACTTGTTGCCACTTGCCTGTAGGGTTGCCAATGCTATTTTCCAGTTTTCCAGCCCTGGGCTTACCTCAATAGTGCAGCAGCCCTGTTCGAAATGTATAATTTATATTAGACCAACATTTGGTGTATTTTCAAATGGTTTACGTCTAGAATTCCTAGTCCATAAGTTGTTGGAGTATATAATTTTGATACTGCTTGATTCATCAATTGCAAAATGTATTTGGAGGTTATCATGCAATTTGGAAGTCATAAAAAATCATGCCTAAAGAATTTTCAAATCATGTATTTGAGCTTAAGGTATTTTTCGATTTTGTCAAGATTTATTGGTTGATATTTAACAAGTTGTCTTCACTGCTCTTCATTTTCTTAAAGAATTTTCCTGTCATCATATAGTCAACTTGTAAATGCAACACCAGAAGCGACCAGAAAAAATAGGATTTCCTGGTTGACGTTTTTGGCACATTCCATAAAGGCATGTAGTGCCATTTTCCAGTTTTACAGTCCTCAATAATGCAGCACCCAGTTCAAAAATATAATTTAATGTTGGAATAACATTTGCAGTTCATTTTTCAAAAGTGTTCAGTCAGTAAGTTGATCTAATTCCACTAAATAACATTTGAACTTTATTTTTAAAGTGTTTAGTCCAAAATGGAGATGGACCTGTGGCCACAACTCACAACCAGTAAAAGTTATCCCGTCAGTGGTTGACTGACTTTGACTTGACACTCCACAGACTAACAACAGTATATTGGTATCCTGTGAATTTGATATCATTAAATAGATCATCTAACTATCATTGCTTTGCATTATCCATTCTAAAAGAAGCCTGCATGTTATAGTTATGGACAGAAGTTGCAATCTTCTCTTTGCTCTTGCAGTTTTCATTCTGCTTCATCACCATACTTCAATGGCTAAGTTTCCCAATATCAGCACTGATGAAGCTGCTCTTCTTGCCTTGAAATCTCACATTTCTTCTTCTGATCCTAACAAAATCTTAGCAACTAACTGGTCTTCTTCCAGCCCAGTATGCAACTGGATTGGAATCACTTGCAGCTCTCGCCACCATAGAGTCGCAGCTTTAGACATTTCAAGCATGCAACTTCATGGTACCATTCCGCCACACCTTGGAAACCTCTCATTTCTAGTTTCCCTCGACATCAGTAACAACGCTTTTCATGGGGATTTGCCTGAAGAGTTGGCTCATTTGCAGAGATTGAAACTGATTAATGTCACTAGCAATAACTTTACTGGTATCATACCATCATTTTTAAGTTTGTTACCCAAACTTCGCTTTGTGTACCTTTCCAGCAATCAATTCTCTGGAGAAATCCCATCTTCCATTTCCAATCTAACAAAGCTGGAAGTGTTAAGAATAAGGGAAAATTTCCTTGTAGGAGAGATCCCTCGAGAACTCGGTGATCTCCGTTGCATGACTTTCTTAGACCTGCAACGCAACCGACTTACTGGCTCTATACCACCAACAATATTTAACATTACATCAATTCAACGCATTGCTCTTACTGGCAACAATCTCGCTGGTAAGCTTCCAACAACTATATGTGACCATCTTCCAAACTTGGAAGGACTTTACATCTCGTTCAACTACCTCAATGGAGTTATTCCACCAAACTTAGAAAAATGCAGAAAGCTTCAACTCTTGTCATTGTATGAAAATGAATTCATTGGAACTATACCAAGAGAATTAGCCAACTTAACAGCTTTGAGAGGATTAGCTCTTGGATCTATGCATTTGGAAGGTAGTATGATATTTCCTTACAAAGAAATCCGAAATTTTCTCCCTTTTTTTCTCTTCGACCAAGCTGGTACTGATATATTTCCCCCACTTGACAGGAGAGATACCAGTGGAGCTAGGATACCTTAAGAAACTACAGCAACTGGATTTATCTGAAAATGAGTTTATTGGTTCTGTCCCTGCAAGTATTTTGAACATGTCCACACTGCTGATCCTAGCACTTGGCAGTAACAGGTTTTCAGGTACTTTACCTTCAGATTTAGGCCGTGGCATGCAAAACCTAGAAGAATTTTATATTGGAGGGAATAATCTGAGTGGTTTTATCTCTCCTTCTATCTCAAATTCTTCAAGACTCAGAATACTTGACATCGCTTACAACAGTTTCACAGGTCCAATTCCTCAATCACTTGGTAACTTAGAACAGCTTGAGCTTTTGAACTTGCAGATGAACAATTTTTTTAGCGATTCCTCATTGAGCTTTCTGACATATTTGACAAGCTGTAGGAATCTAAGAGAAGTCGGTTTTGCTGAAAATCCGTTGGATGGTGTTCTTCCGGCATCTATTGGAAATTTCTCTGACACTCTGCAAATTTTTTATGGAGAAAATTGTAAACTGAAGGGCATCATTCCTGAAGAAATTGGTAATCTTACTGGAGTGGCGAAGATGACTCTGTCTAACAATGAGTTGATTGGACATATTCCAAAAACTGTCCTAGGCATGCTGAACCTTCAAGAACTTTACCTAGATAGCAACAAGATAGAAGGAACCATACCAGATGCTATCTGCAATTTAAAGAATCTTGGAGCACTAGACTTGTCAGGAAATCAGTTTTCTGGTTCAGTGCCACCATGCTTAGGAAACGTTACCAGTTTGAGGAAACTTTATCTAGCCTACAACAGCCTGAATTGGAGTTTACCTTCAAGCTTGGGAAGCCTTGAAGATCTCATAGAGTTAGATGCTTCATCCAATTTATTAAGTAGGCAAATTCCTCAAGAGATTGGAAATTTAAGGGCTGCTGCACTCATTGATCTGTCGAAAAATGATTTTTCTGGTGAGATGCCTAGCACTATAGGGGGCTTAGATAAATTGACTAAACTTTCTCTGGCACATAATAGATTAGAGGGGCCAATTCCAGATTCATTTGGCAAAATGTTGGCCTTGGAAGTCTTGGAGTTGTCTTTTAACAATCTTAGTGGTGAAATTCCAAAGCCATTAGAAGCTCTTAAGAATCTCAAATATCTGAACATCTCATTAAATAAACTCAGTGGAGAGATTCCCACCGGAGGTCCTTTTGCAAATGCCACGGGTCAATCTTTCTTGTCCAATGATGCTCTTTGTGGCGATTCTAAGTTTCATGTGCCACCATGTGTCGTCAAATCTACTAAGAGGTCAAAGAGGAAAAAGGCAATCTTGGCTTTGTACGTCCTTTTGGGAGTGGGGCTGCTATTTCTTGCATTAGCCCTTGCATATGTATTTTTAAGATTGCGAAAGAAAAAGAAGAATGCAGGTCAAGCAGATGTGACTCTGGTCAAAGGGCATGAAAGAATTTCCTATTATGAACTTGAACAAGCAACAGAAGGATTTAGTGAAAGCAACTTGCTTGGTAGTGGGAGTTTCAGCATGGTCTATAAAGGGATGCTTAGGGATGGTACTCTTTTGGCAGCAAAGGTATTCAATGTGCAATTAGAGGGTGCATTCAAAAGTTTTGACACAGAATGTGAGATGCTAAGAAACCTCCGCCATCGAAATCTTACTAAAGTCATCACTAGTTGCTCTAACCTTGATTTCAGAGCATTAGTATTAGAATACATGCCGAATGGTACACTTGAAAAATGGCTATACTCTCATAACTTTTTCTTAGACATGTTGCAGAGATTGAATATAATGATAGATGTTGCATCTGCAATGGACTATCTTCACAATGGCTATTCAACACATGTGGTGCATTGTGACTTGAAGCCAAGCAATGTCTTGCTAGATCAAGATATGGTCGGCCATGTCAGTGATTTTGGCATTGCAAAATTGTTAGGTGCAGGGGAGGCTTTTGTACAAACTAGGACAATTGCAACCATTGGATACATTGCTCCAGGTATTATAACTTTAAAGCTTCCTCATATTCTTAGAGTATCCAAAACATTAATTTTTCCCCTGGATATAGATTGGTAAGCTTTTCTAATTATTTTGACCATGATTGCAGAGTATGGACAAGATGGAATAGTATCTACAAGTTGTGATGTTTATAGTTTTGGCATCTTGATGATGGAGACGTTTACACGAATGAGACCAAGTGATGAAATATTTACTGGAGACTTGAGCATACGACGTTGGGTTAGTGATTCTTTTCCAAGTGAGATTCATAAGGTGGTGGATGCTAATTTGGTACAGCCAGTGGATGAACAAACCGACGCAAAGATGCAGTATATGCTATCTATCATGGAATTAGCTTTGAGCTGCACTGTAGTGATACCTGATGCAAGAATTAACATGGAAGATGCTCTTTCAACCCTCAAAAAGATCAAGCTCCAGTTTGTCAATAGTCGCCACTAGGTGGAATTAGACCATTGGCTCTGGATTCCTATAATTTCCAAATAATGAGATTAAATTTGGTTACATCGTATAAACCTGGTATTTCTAATATATAACGTTCAAATAAAAAATCAAAAAGTAGAATTCATGTGCAACTTCATTTGAATCTCTTTAAAGAGATACCACACAACTTTAAACTCTCTTTTGAATCTCTTTAAAAGTTCTGTGGTATCTACTGGCATGAGAGTAAAAATGTTTTATAAGGCATGAAATGTGACATTGACGATATATGGCAGTCTAAATGAGATGAGAGAAAAGAGAAGAAATGATGTGAAGCTGCAGATGTAGAAATAATTTAAAAGAAACATCACTAAAATATATGATTGTTGTGTTGTCAATGACTACAAATAGTTCTACAAAACTTTGGATTAAACTAAGTGAATCATCTAAATCAGACCGATAAAGTGAGAACTACACAAATCAAAGGGAAGCAAATATACAAAAAGATCTCAGCTATAAAAAGTGGGATCTCTTAATCCTCCCTTGTGAGAATCTACACCAACTAATAGACTAAGAACACGAGATCCAGAAGCCTTCAGCCAACTAAAGATTCATGTTTCCTACAACAACAATTTGTATATAGACAGGACATCACCACTGCAAGCAGCCTTTCTTCATGGAAAACAGCACCGGAATTTCAAATGTACATCTTCATAACTGACACTCTTTTGAATCTCTTTAAAAGCTGTGAGGTATCTAATGGCATGAAAATAAAATGTTTTACAAGGCCGTCTGCTTTAATGCTTTTGCAAGAGATTCATAATTCTTCTGAGCAATGTAGGCAATTGTAATTAATGATCCGGTATGCAAGGCTCTCAGTCTCTGGAACCATAGCTGAAGTTAAGCCATTCCAAAAGTGAAATGTGACTGCTTCTTTGAGTATAGTTTTAAATAGCATATCTTGTTCAGCTTTCTCACTCTCTGTTGCTGGTGCTGAGAAATATCTGTCAAAGGAAAAGGGAGAGTTGGTACATACTTTTGTCTATAACCCCCTGTTTTGGACTATCATCCCAGCAATAAGAAGAAAAATAAACCGATGTTGATGTTTGGTTACAAAAACCATGACATGTTCGGATGCTGCTGAAGCTCGCTGAATGAGATATTAGACAGCCAAGGTTTTTGATAAGTTAGCTTTTTAGCTAACTTCTCTTGTGTTTCTATAGAGTTTTATGCCCCATTTGTTGGAATAAGTTGAGTAATTATGCTTTGAATGGTGTATTTTCAGGATTAAGAAGAGGTGGACGCTTTGAGAATGATAAACATGGACAAATAGCAAGAAAAGACCAAGTCCAAGTGAACAATTGGAAGAATTGAAGTTGTAACTGAAGGCCAAAAATTTACGTAGCCTACGACGCGAAGCATGTAGCCTACGTACCTGGAAAATGGGATTAAGCTGAAGACTGGGATGTTCTGGTTTTGCATACGAGAAGCACATAGCCTACATGCGCAGCCTACATGGGAAAAATCACCTGAAGAAGCTGAAATTCACGTAGCCTACGTGAAGCCCTGAAAAAAGCAGCCTACTTGAAGCCTGAATCTGAAGCTACGGGGGGCTAACCAAGGGCAATTTTGTCCACTTTTGGGACTTAATATATATAGAAGTTTAGGTCATTTTTAGGCCATCTTTGCTTCTCTTTTGTACTCCATATTAGCCTTTAGCTAATTTGGGAAGGATTGGAAAAATCAACACCTTGTTTGGATTTTCTTACTCTTTTAAGTCTTAATTATGTTTATCTTTTCATCTCAACTCTTATTTTTCATTTCTAGCATGAGTAGCTAAGCTCCATAGCTGGATTATAAACTCTAATGGCATTAGTGTGAATGGGTCTTTGTTCATCTTGCTTATTATTACTTGGATTGATTATCTACTTGTTTCCATGTTTTAGTGTTAATTTGGTGGTTGCAAACACCAGATTGAGCCCTTTTTATCTATTTCTTACTTGGAAATGTGGAAATTAGATTGGGTAGTCAACAAGTAGCAAGGATTGGAGCTTATTAAGGAATTAATGAAGCTTGATTAATAAAATCGAACTAGGAATTGGAAAATTTCTACTTAGGTCATTATCAATTGGGGCTTACTGAATTCCTTTGGGTTTGAAAGAACTTTTTAGGGAAAAGCTTGGCTATAGTTGGAAAATTCTAGTGGGCAGCTATCGATTGGATCATAATCACTAATGCGAAGTATTTAGGCAAGATTAAGGACACCCATGAACTAATTATGCCATATTGAGGTTGCAATCCCGGTCCTTCTCTTTATCAGAAAACAAACCATCTTTATTTGCATTCTACGTGTTCAATAAAAGTCCGTAGTTAAATTTTAGTAGAAAATTAGACATAACTGATCACCACTCTTTTGTTAGAAGATAAACTTAAGAAACATCGAGTTTGCACACTTCTAAACACTTTAGCACACACTTACTCCTTGTGGGATTCGATCCCAACCTAGTTGGGTTTATTATTGCTAACGACCGTCTACGCTTCACTTAGAGGCGTAGGATTGAACGTCATCAGTTTTTATTCCCTTTAGCTTATACTTCGTCGGGGATTTAAGAATATTATTAGGGCTAAACTACACGAATCAATGTTTTACGAGGTCAAAATTGACTCCTGATATAGGAAAAATATCGAAATTCAAATCAATATTAAAATTACCTGTTTTGTTGTTAAAATTTTGCAGCATTTTTTTTTTGATAAAGTAAGTGATTTCAATAGATGGCATCAAGAAGATGCAAGAAGTACATGATTTGGAATTTGAGCTTACAAAAATATTCCGGCTCCTATACATAATTGGCTAAGCCAGAGCTAAGGAGCAACAACAACAACAACAACCAAGTATAATCCCACTAGTGAGGTCCGGAGAGGGTAGTGTGTACGCAGACCTTACCCCTACCCTGGGGTAGAGAGGTTGTTTCCGATAGACCCTCGGCTCCCTCCCTCCAAGAACTACCCACTTTGCTCTTAGGGTGACTCGAACTCACAACCTCTTGGTTGGAAGTGGAGGGTGCTTACCACTAGAGCAACCCACTCTTAGCTAAGGAGCTAATGAAATCCAAAAGATGATCAATATTGTTGATAGGGTACAGTCTAGACCAACAAAACAAATTGGCAGCAGTTTGAGTCCCAACATTCCTCCCAATTTTAAAAGCTTCTATCCAATGTAACTGGCTGGCTTTCTGCAGCATTTTACTAAGCCCTTCCATGGCCAAGATAAAGAGGAACGGTGAGATAGGGTCACCCTGTCGGATACCTCTTTGTGGAGAAAAGAAACCCACTGGACCACTGTTCACTAAGATCGAATACTTAACAGTACTGATGCTGAACTTGATCCATCTTATCCATCTTTTCCCAAAGCCCATGTGCATCAGAATTGCNTGGACCCCTGTTCACTAAGATCGAATACTTAACAGTAGTGATGCTGAACTTGATCCATCTTATCCATCTTTCCCCAAAGCCCATGTGCCTCAGAATTGTGAGCAAGTATGACCAGCTCACTTTGTCAAAAGCTTTCTCAATGTCCAGTTTAAATAACAACCCTGGCTCTCCACTCTTAAGTCTCCAATCTAGTGCCTCATTTGCAATGAGAGCAGCATCTGTGATTTGTCTCCCTTTTACAAAAGCATTCTGACTCCCCGATACCAACTTCCCAATGACTGTTTTAAGCCTTTCAGCCAAAAGTTTAGAAGCAATCTTATAAACACTGCTTATAAGACTGATTGGTCTTGAGCTCGGTTGCGCCTTTCTTTTTAAGAATCAGAGCAATAAAAGAGGCATTAATAGATTTAACCATGTGGCAGTTGTGGTGAAAGTGATTCATTGCATCAATAACCTCCTTTTTGATAATCTCCCAAGCATGTTGAAAGAATGCCATAGTAAAACCATCAGGTGCTGGAGCCTTATCTGGAGCACATTTTCTAATAGTTGAAAGAATCTCCTGTTCCTCAAACTCCCTTTCCAACCAGTTTCTCTCAGCTTCTGAAATCCTAGCTAGATTGTCAAATCTAGCTGACGGCCTCCAAGGTTCATTCTCTATGTACAACTGCTGGTAGAAGTTCAGGATTTCACTTTTGATTTCCTCCTTATCTTCAATGATGACTTCCCCCATCTGTAGCCTATCAATGCAGTTGTTTCTTCTATGAGCATTAGCCATCTTTTGGAAGTACTTTGTATTTCTATCTCCATCCTTAAGCCATAAGCATCTTGATTTTTGTCTCCATAAAACCTCCTCAATCTTTGCTAACTGCTGAATTTGTGATTGCAGGTTTGATCATTTGAGCCTTCTCAACTTGTGTTTGAACTCTGCCTTCAGATGATTGTTCCAACATAGTTAGTTCATTAAGTGCCTTACTTTTTTGAGTTTCTAGTTTTCCAAATACCTCCCTATTCCAGCATGAGATGTCTTTCTTCAGGTTCCTCAGTTTTTGAGTCAAGATGAAGTCTGGACTGCCCACTACCCGATAACTGGACCACCATTCTTTAACTGAGTCCATGAATCCCTCCGCTAGCAACCACATATTCTCAAATTTAAAATAAGACGAATTGGAGTCCCAATCCCCACATTCAAGCATTAATGGCTTATGATCAGACTCTGGGTAAAGCCACCTGCTTTATCGCCTTGAAGTTGTCATTCCACTCAGATGAGATTAAGAACCTATCAATTCTAGAAGCCTGAAGTTGTTCTTCACCTCTAGACCATGTATATTGAGCTCCCTGTAGACCATGTATATTGAGCTCTGGACCATGTATATTGAGCTCCCTACCATGTATATTGAGCTCCCTGTAGGGATAAGTCCAACAGTTCCAATTCCAATATAATATCAGAGAAAGATTTCATTGCTCTGGACCTACTAAGACAGTTGAATTGTTCATGCTCATATCTGCATACATTAAAATCTCCCCCTATCACCCAATGCTCATCCCAAATACCCCTTATTGCTGTCAATTTATGCCAAAGATCCTTTCTTGCTGAATTTGAATGTCGCCCATATACCCCAGTGTAACACCACATGAATTGTTCCTGGAGACTTTCTAGAATGACAGAAACCGAGTATATACCTTGCTGAATGCTAATGCTTTTCCACAACCTCCTGTCCCACAAAATGATGACCCCACCTCTTGTGCCATTTGCTTGCAAATCTGCCCAGCTAGCCCATCTATTTCCCCATAAAGAACCTACTAATTGTTGTGACCACTCTTCAATTTTTGTCTCCTGCAAACATACTATATCTGCCTTCCACTTCATCAACAAAGATTTGATGATCCCCCTCTTCTTACTCTCATTCAACCCCCTAATGTTCCAACTAAGGATTTTGACTTTCATCCCAAATGAGCTTTGTGGATCCTGCCCCTTAAAATTTTGCAGCATTACTAAAACAGAAAGTGTTGCTTATGCTGTAAGGGGGCTAGACTAATGTTCCTCTCTTTCAGTACAAGACTCAACAAAGTTATATGACGTCACCATTATGCATTAGTTAGAGCAGTATATTTTAACCAAATCAGTAATAACATCATGAACGTAAGTGCAACCAATAATCACAATAACTCTAGTTGTGACACTACCTATCATGGCAAGAAAAGGAAAAAGGCAATAATGTTAATATGACTAAATTTCTTTTTTGAAATGGTAATGTTACTAACAATTAAAAGTTTGAAATAACAATAATAAATCTTTCACTAATAAATTTAAGCATTTACAATTCTAAGTACCACATTTTATACTTTTAAACTAAAGACTAAAAGGTAGTAAAGTCTGTACCTGGTAATATTATTATGACTGATAGGGAAGATAAGAAAAGAGGGTTGAAACTTGATCTCCATCGTTCTATCGGATTATCATTGCCAGAAAAGTTACTAGCAACTCTTGTCAAAAGATCAGCTCCATTCCACCTCAATTGTGCGTCGTCATAAGAGGCATAAAACTCCTTCAAACACTCCATTATAAAAGGACTGCAAAAGGCGTACAAGAAAGTGAATCTTGGCCATAGGGTAGACAGAAGAGAATATACTTTACATCCTTTATATACTTTTGCTACGGAATACTTGTATTGTCCTGTCCTTTTCCCACAATACACTTTAAGAGGTAGCACGGTTTGAGGTTATTCTAATTCTAAAATGGAATCCTTTGGTAGCATTTTCAGGCAAATGACAACTCGAACATTACTTTATTTTTTAGAACAGTGGTGTGTCCAGGCCGACTTGCATGTACCTTGACTAATCCAATGGATACACCTCCCACCAGCAAGGACAACCAAAATAGTTTGTTCATTTGCA